GAAGCAGCGGGAACGTTGGCCCCGGGCGGCCGGGGCTCCCCAAGACGCGAGTCTGGGGGACACTGCTCCGTGCCGGAAGGCGCCCGGGACCCCGTCCCAGGAGGCGTCTGTCTTGATGCCCGGCCAGGCCGAGCGAGCTGCCTTTGGGTGTGAGCGGCCCCGGGTTCAAAGCCCTGTTGGCCATGGTGCTTGCCGTGTGCTCTTTGGAAAGCTGCCCCCGCCTCTTCGGATCGTCGCGCGTATCCTGAGTTCCTCGTTCGGGAACGAGCAGGCCGTTTCCTGCAAGGGGGAGTCTGAGCCGTGCGGGGCCATCGCTCCGGCATTTCTCCAGCCGGACTCCCAGGCCTTTTCCCTGCTGACGGTGCAACATGGGGGTTATTAGCAGAAGTGGAGCTCTGCCTGGGCCGTGTCTGGATGGGATGCTGAGCGTCACTTGCAGGGGGAGAAACCTGGCGTCTGTGTGGATGCGACGGAGTGACGTGAAGGAGCGTCGCGCTTGGCATCTCTGTTCAGGCTTCAGCTGTCCCGGGATGAGTTGGTGCAAATTTCAGGCAAGGCGTTTGTCCTCGTTGGCTTCATGGACACGGTCCTACCTGCGCCAGCCGCTTTCTCCCCTCTCTTGTGTCATACGCGAATCCTGTGAATCTTCCCTTTTTGGGTGAGTTAAAATTGGGGTCACGTTCCACTGCCTCCCCCTGCCCATTTTACCCTTAGAAGTATGAGAAAGAGAGAATTACCCACCAGCCAAAGGGAACCCAGCCCCTGTCTGTGCCGCTGCATGAATCCCTGATCTACCCAGAGCAGGGACTCATGCAGAGTTGCACCGGGGCACCCTCTGCTGCTATTTCAGTGCCTTGGTTGAACCCTGGCATGATGCGGAGAGGAAGAATCATTACCTGCCCCCCACCCCAGGGGAGGCTGAGTGGAAGAAAGCAAGCTCGGGGCAGGTAATCATGAAGAAACACACCAGGCAGCCTCTTCCCCTGATGACTCCTCCGTCATCGTCGTCATCGGCTCAAGTGAAAAAGAGAACAAGGTTTTGATTTGTCTGTTTTGCATTAATGCTCTTTTTGTAGCAGATGAACTCTGGCACATGGTTTTGGGAACAACCGACTTGACCAGACCCAAACCTGCTTTGCATTTCAACAGGGTGGGATTGCTCACTTTTTCAGTAAAGGACTTTCTTCCCTCTCTGTCTTTCTCTCTCTCTCTCTTTTTTTTCTTTTCGGAAAAGGCGTCTTGCTTTGTTGGTTTGCTTGGGAGCCTCTGCCAAGAATGCATGTAATTAGAGCAAATGAAACCCAAACTTTTCTGCCTGAGCATGTCCAGAATATGTCTGTTGAATGTGCTGGAAGGGGGTGGAAGGCAGCCTTCAGGTGCTTTGTGTGTGAGGGGACCAGCAGGGGAGGCTGATCCCCTCCTGCAGACTCTCCTGGACTCTCCCACCGCAGAACCGAGGTGGTAGAGTCCTAGAGCGGCAGAGGGGACTGTACCTCTTCCGTGGCTGGGTTCACCTTGACCTGCCCCCCTTTGCAGGGAAAAAAACCAGCTCACATCCCGCGAATGATACAGCGCAGAAGTAAAGGAGCCCTTCTGTGAAGTCGTCAGGGGACTCGCTTGCAGATGCTCTCTTCCCCCAGCAGTCAAGGGCAGGCTCCGGCCGGTTGCAAACAGGGGCGTGGGATATTTCTTCGGGAAGGTTTCCCCTCCAGGCCCCACCGCAGAGACTGCTCTTGAGAGGCGGAAGCCAGACTTGGCCCAGCCACTTTGTGCTGCGGTATCCAGATTGCAAAGTGTCCTTTAATTTGCCTGGCATTGCGTGTTGTGGTGCTGCTAGTCCTCATGGCCATTTAGGGCCTCCCAGATCAGAGCCTGTGTCACACGGTTTGGGGGAGCGGGAGTGGGAGGGTGCCGTTTTGTCCAGCTCCAGCAGGTAGGCTTCCCCCTGGAGCCTCTAGCTGACCACGACGGAAACAGGACACTGGGTGCAGACAACTCTTTCCAGATAGGATTCCATTTCAGAGAAACTCGATGGCCTGATTCTGGTGGAGGGTAAAGCAGAAGGCAAAGGGATGGGACAGAAGTCCGGGATATTGTCACTTGATGTCCTTCCTTCCCTCCGTGCAGCCTTCGGAGAGGTGTGGCAGTCTTTTAGAATTTGGACGGAATTGGAAAGCAGCTGGGGTGCTCCCCCATAATTGGTGGTGGCAGGAAAAATGTTGGGTCCGGGGGCCAGCTGTGAAGACAAGCACCCGGTCCCTTTGCTTCAGGGATGCATTAGCAGAAATTAAACTTTCCTTCACCTGTGCAAAATCATGTAAGATATATCGCATCTCCGCTGCAGGTTCCCAGGAAAGACTGGAAGAGCCAAACGTCCCCCGAGACGTGGAGTGCTGGAGCGTCCCGGCCTGGGTGGGCTGACTTCACGTGACTTTGGGGATGGCTTTTTAAAATAATCTCCTTTTCCCAGCTGAAGTCCCTCGATTCTGGCAGGGAACCCTTTTTAAACCACCACTTTTCTTTTGGAATGGAGGCCGATGGCTTTGTTCAGAAGATCGCTTGTGAGCTTTGGACAAACCTCGTTTCCTTCTCGGCCCGCCAGCCCAAGGGTCTCCGTAGCCGACGACGACTGTGTCGCAGCACGTTCCTCCTCCGCAGCAGACCTGAGAGAGGAGAAATCCCAATTCCAGCTCCTTTCCTCAGCTTTCCTATTGCCACAATATTGGCATTGCTGGGTCAAATCCAGGATCTAAAGGCACAGTGCTTCCAAGGAGGCCCAGGAAAGCTAGAACTTTTCCAACTTTCCGAGTCTTCCCGACACTTTTGATTGGCTGGCTCCCAGCCTGGCTTCCTGATTGGCTGACTCCCAGCCTGGCTTCCTGATTGGCTGGGATGCTTATATAAACAGCCTAGTTCTGGGGAGACCCCCAGTCTCAAAACCTTCCCCAGATGGTATTTCTTCTCCCCTAAAATGGAAGCCGGATCGGGTCTCGCCCTCTGGTGATGGAACGGCTCTCATTTACCTTGGCCTTCCCCTTCTTCCTTCGGGGCAACCTTCTTTTGAAGGCGCCGGTTCTGCATTTTGCAGGCTGAAAACGGAGGGCACCACACGCTAAAGATGGGTTACCGTGCAGACCTGAGGCCTGACCGGAGACCATCCAGAGAAGAGTCTTTCTGGTGGCGGCCCTGTTTCGGTGGAGCGGTGCCTCTAGAGGCCAGAGGGGCTCCAGCATGACGTGTCCAGCGCTTCCCCAAAATATCTTTGTTTCAGGAAGTCGTCTGCTGCCCAGCGGCCGTTCTGACCTCTGACCCAACACCGTTCCACTTTTCTGGACCTAGTCAGCTGCCGTCCAAGATCGTGTTCCTCTGAGCATCGTACGGTCCCCATTTGGTTTCGAGGGGCTCCCACGGTCCAGCTCTGAACAGATGGGGGATTAAGGCAGAATCGCACCGCCCCCCCCCCTTTGCAGACTTTGAGTCACGAAAGATAATATTCTCTCTCTCCTAATTAGCTAAAGTGAAGCCCCGCTGTTTGTCTCCCAACGGGCGACTCGCTGGGTTCAGTGGCGCCCTAGATACGTCTGTCTTCTCTTTTTCTCTTTCCTTGGAGTAGTTGGGCAGCTCTTAGATTTGAAACGCATCTGATTAAAGTCCAAGCAACCCACCACCTGCTTCCTTCCTTGCGTGGGGGGAATAACAGAAGGAGAAGGCAATGGAAGAAAAGTTTCTGGCTTCGCGCAGAGAAAATTGGCTCCGAAGTGGGGTTATTGCATACTTAGGCCGGGAAGACGTAAATATACGGTATATTTATACACACACACACCGCCTTTAATAAGACTCCTTATGCTGGAGGTGCTTAACTGCTCCTTTCCTTTTAAATACGAAGCTGCGTTAACAAACGCAGACCTTTGATCCATGGGGCCTCTCGCAGGAGCACAGAAACGGGCTGGGATCCAGCGCACCAGACGGGGGTCTGGAAGCATTCAATAGAAACGTTGGCTCCGGCCCACCGCCCTGCTTTTCGGCAGGCTCCGAGCCTCAGGTTTTGCCAGCGCCATCCTCGGATCCAGAGCATGCACTGATTTAATTATCTTTCTGGAGATGGCAGGGCAGATTCCACCCCCCCCAGCCCCCCTCCCTCTCAGTGATCTTTGAGAAGAAGGTGGAAGAAATACTCCTCCTCGGTTGGGGCACCACACAGCCCCGTCCAAAAGCAGGCCTAGGGAAGAGGACTCGCTGGTACAGGCTCGGAAAGAGCTGCTCGCCTAGGGTGAGGGCCAGTGGCTTCCCAGGCGACCAGGCAGAAATACCCCCGTTGAGCTGTGAGAGTGGGGGAAAGTATGTAGGCTTTCAGGTTGGCTTGCGATGTTATACCTGGGCTTGATGAGGGAGCTGGGAAGGTGCGCTCAGGGCAACCTGCTTCTTGTATTGTGCCTGGAGAGCCGTCGTGAGCTCGGGGTGGACTATGGAAATCTGGGTTTGAGGCCCCACTTGGCCCTGAAGTTGGCTGGGTGGCTTTGGGGTACAGTTGCCGCAGGGATACCATGGAGAGGCAAAAAAACCCCCCATTAGCCAATTCGACTTCCTTGCAAGGAAAAAATCTATTCTATTCTGAAGAAACATCCAGAGCGGCTGCTGAAAAGCTCCATTAACACTGGATGAGAAGAAAAAGCCTTGCAAAATGACTCCCGGGGGCAGTGAGTTCCGCAGAACAGCCCGGGGCCACTCTGGCTAGGCCCCGCCAACGTAGCGGTGGGTGGCATGACCCCTCGGAGAGGGTACCCTGCTAAACGGGGAGGGGGCAAATCGGTGCCTCTGGGCTGCCCCACAGGGCTGTGCCCCCCTCTCCCGCCCCACCCCCATTTTCCCACCCGTCGCTTCCCGGCCTTTGTGCCATCCCCTTGCTGCCAGTTCTAAAAGCTCAAAGTGCATCTCCGGAGACGCAGGTGAGCGGTTCTCATGTGGCCCCGGTGCAATTCGGCCCTCGGACCGACAGCTTCCCCACCCCTGCTGTGCGGGCCAGTCGGCTGCCCCGAGCCCTCGCATCCCCCCATCCCGGGACTCCTCCGCAATTCCGGCATGCGCCCGCCTTTCGCCTCGCCCCGTCTCTTCTCGGGCGCCACATTCCTGCCTAATTGACTAATGCCGTTCTGTTTACCTTGGGTTTGTTATGACAAATAAGATGGATTTTTCCTGGCGCTCGAGTGCGGCAGTTTCCAAACAAACCGAGAGGCGCGATGCGCCGAGCAGGGCACACCAGCGCGGGAGGGAGGGGCGCATGTGCTCGCACATGTCCTGCGGGCAGCGGGAGCCGCCTGCCTTTCATTGTCGGGCTGTTTGTTTGCCGCTCTGGGCCTGTCGCTCGTGTTTTGGCTACGATCTCGGCACTTTCGTCTCCGTGCCGCGGAAACGGCTTGCATTTTTGTGCCAGCACTGTGTGTGTGTGTGTGTGTGTGTGTGTGTGTGTGTGTGTGACCCGCAGGGTGTGTGGGGTTGGGTGTTATTCTCTGCTCAGTTTTTTCTTCTGGCAGCAACACGTAGGATGCAGGACAGTGGAAGCCCCTTCACTCCTGCCAGCATCCCTTCCCGAGCCGCACGTCCACGAACATGCGCAGAGTGTTTTCTCTCATTCAACTGATCTATTCCCAGGGGCTTGGGAACGGTCCTGGCTGCTTTGCCCCTTCTCCGCCTCACAGACTCGCGTGTTGACGGGCGAAGCCCCTGCCGCAGCTCAGGGCTGGCACCTCGACAAGCTCGCCCGGCCAGGCTGTTTTCTTTTCTCACCTCTGTCAGGCAGCCTTGCTGCACAATGGATGGAACGGGTGTCCCTCTCTCTCGTCCGGCGTCTGGGGAGCTTTTGCTTCCGCCAGAGCGAGGCCGTGCCGAGCCCCCAGCTATCTCAGCCTCTCGGAAAAACAACCAGGGTTTTCTTTCTTAGAAGACCTCGTTGGCAGAAAATCCATTTGCTCCTAGGATTTTCCCGTGTTTGCATTTATTGGGGCTCTCGAAGGCTTTGTTGTGTGAGCAGCTGAAGTGGAAACTGCGGGGAAGGAGTGTGCTCTTGGGAGTCTTCTGAAAGTTAGAATAGGTTTGGGGAAAGACCCGGAAAATCCATTCGCGAGAACCCAGAAGGTCTTCCGGGATTATTTTAGGAACTGGGCAGCTTCCCGTGGAAACCCTACTCAAGCCGTTCCTACCTCTCTCCCTGCCTTCCTCTGTAATGATGAGGGGATAATATTGGCCTACCTTGCAAGGTTGCTGTAAGGTCGCGTACTGGACAATGCATATGAGGTGCTTTGAGGGCACTGTACAAATGCCAGGTATCCCATGTTCCCTCTTGGTGCAAAAGTACCAAACTTTTTTCTTCCGACAAAGAAAAAAATGTTTTTCAGCAACAAAATTGGCTCTTTTGAAGGGAATAGGGACTGGAGAACTTTGTAGGCGCCGCTGGAATGTTCCAGCAATTTCTGTTTCCCTCACAGCATTCCAGAAATCGCGGTTTTCTAGCTGACGGTGGGGACATCCAAATGGCGTGGCGGAGGGTGTCCGTGCTCCTTCCTCCGGGAGATGGTCACAATGCCAGGGGGGTTCTGGGAAAAGCAAAATGGTGGACAGTAGCCCAACCGCGCGGCTGCTGGCCATTAGCGCTGGCCTGTGCCTCTGTGCCGCCAGGCCGGCTCTGAGTCGGGGGGCTGCGTGGGGTGGCCCTGGGCACACCTGCTCCGCTCGGTCCGTCTCCTGCCGTCTTCCCTCTGAGGTCTCCCAAACGCAGCCGGCCATTTTGGGAGAGGGCCGGGTGGAAAAGGCCCTGTGGAAATAAACCTGTGCCAGGATGCGATTTGGCTCCGCCGGGGTTGCCCACAAATAGCTCTGGCCTGTCTCGCAGGATTGATCGTTCCCAGCAAAACACCGGGTAGCTCTCCCGCTCTTGCTGACGGAGCTGGAAAGTCTCGACGGCTCTCGAACGTGACGGCCAGAGGAGGCGCCGCACTTGGAAGCCGTCTGGAGAGGAAGGGCTTTTTTCCGGCCTGTGGGCTTCCAGCTGGCTGATGCCGGCTCTGGCTGGACCGGCCGCCTCTCTTCGGTCCGTTCCTCGGAGGCCCGGGTTGGATGCGACACGATGTGCCATCCCCGGGACGTGGCGTGTCTCAGCTTGGGGCCTGGTGGATGGGTTTCGGAACCGGTTTGTTCCGGACCCGGTAACCACAGTCGCACGACCGCAGTGGTGAACTGACCCAGGCAGTCGCAAGCAGAGAGAAAGCATTTACGAACGGGCGTGAGTCAAGGCCTGGTGCACTTCAGAGGGATTACGGCTGCCGTGACTTCAGCTCACTGCTGGCCCAGCCATTGGCTGTGTTGCTGAGGATGATGGGAACTGTAGCTCAGCGCAGGCCCAGGCACCGGACTGGAAAAGGCCAGTGCATGCGAAAAGAACAAACAACCGGCGCACGCGAACAGAAGCGAATTGGGGGAATAGTTGCAGTATTCCTAAAATCCGGTGTTAGTTTTGCAGCCCAGATTCGGCTTGCTCTGAAAAGCATGGTGGCCGTATCCACAGAGCCCAACGAGAATACGCAGTTTTGTATTTATATATACCATTTATTACTGCAGGTTGTCAACCCAAGCAACACACATTGTCTCAGGAAAGAACTTTTAGCAGGAAGCAATTGTTAGTCGAGGGGAAATAGGGTGGAATTCTTCGAGGCCTGAAAGGCCGTCACAAGGAGGAAGGGCAGGATCACTTCTCGGAGCAGGGAATAACGGGCACACGCCCCACGCTTCTGTCCTGTGATTCCAGGAAAAAGCCCTTTCCAACCACGGCATGCGTGCGTTCTCCAGAATTCTGCCACGTCGCTTCCACCAGCGGCTTGTGCCACCGGCCGAGCAGCGAATCCCCTCTTTGGAGCAGGGGATGTGTCAGGCCTCCATCCCAGAGCACTTGGTTAGAAAATGTGGCGGTTAAAATCTTGGCAGCCTGCTGCGAGCGCCCGGCTCGACGTGATCGGGCCGCTCTCCCTTTGGCGGCGGCCGCAAATGTGGATGTTTTATTTCCCCGGCTTGCTTCAGTGCGTCCCTTCCCTCTTCCCCGGGTGATGCTGACCCCGTTTCTCCCGGGACGCCCAAATCCCAGCTGCCTCAGGCCCTCCGACGCTGAGCTCATGCCACGCCGGTCGACTGTAACGCGAGGAGGGAGCCGAAGGAAAGCTGACGCAAGCCACGGGCTCGGGTCGGTTTTGCCGCTCGGAAAATCTGCCCAAATAAACAGAAGGATTTGGCTGCTTTTAAGTGGACCCTCGAGCAGAGAATTTGCAAACACATCCTGGGCCACTTCCAGCGACCATGGAAACTCCATAAAATGTCCCCTTTTGACTTTGGAGAGAGGTGACCTTGCTTTTCTCTGTTTCGAGGGCTTGCCAAAAAGCTGCTTTCTCTCCCTCTTCTGTTCCTGCCACTGAAGTTTGCAAGGGCGAAAGGGCCGCTTCTCTGGGGTGGTAGCCTAATGCAAAGAGGAAATCGTTTTAGGCAGGGGCCCAGAGGAAACAGACATCATCAGCAAAAAAAAGGTCTTTGCCCCGAGGAAGTTCCAATTGCACTTTCACAGGTTCAGTGGGGCTCACACCCAGGTAGAGTTTCAGCTTGCTGGTCTGAGCTTGATTCAGGGATTGGGGAGAAGTGTTTGTGAATGCAACAATTGTTTGAAAGAAATGAAAACACGTTGAGCTTGCCGATATTTTTGTTGGACTAGACTCATCCCTGCTACCGCAGGAGGTCGGAATACCTCTTCTGCCATGGTTTTTGTAGTCCTTCCTATTGGAAAACTGAAGCTTTAAGTATAAATGTGTTGCCAAACAAACAAGGAATATTTGCAGTTGAGTGGACAACTTAGATTTGGCTCATCGGACCGCCGGGGTCCTCGCAAAACCACTCGAGACAACGCCCTGCGCTTCGCAACGGGCATGTGCAAAGGGGAAAGAAAAAACAGGTCTCTGCCCAGAGGTGCTTACAGTCCAGTGTCAACCGTCAGGGAAACGAAAGACAGCGAACACCCGTGTTCCACTGCTTGTTCCCACATCTCTGCCCCCCTCTTTCTTCTTTCTGTTCTCCTCCCAGCTGAAACTTTGGAACATGTTCCGGGTCTCCAACATTCCTTCGCTGATATTTATAGACGCCAGCACTGGGAAGGTTGTGTGCCGGAATGGCCTGTTGGTTATCCGAGACGACCCAGAAGGTAAGACGGGCATTGCGCCCCTTCGCCACGCCAAGGGCCCCCTCGCCGCGGAGCCCTCCTTGCCCCGCCTGGCAGAGGCGGAGGGCAACGGACAGGCCCGTGCACCGGGGCCGTCTTAATTCCCGGCACCTTCCCCTTCGTCGTTTTTACAGCCGCGTTCCTTCGGAGAAGCAACAGCTTGTCTTCCCAGGGGTTTCTTGTATGGGAAGAGCTAAGTGAGGAACAGAAGGACAGTTCCGGAAGCCCGGGAATTGGGTGGGAGCGCAGGGGGCACGGGCACCCACGGCTCGGAGCAGACAAGTGGGTTTCCTTTTGCCCCTTCAGTTAGGAAGAGTGTTCATGGCGGGCAGCAAATCCTTTGGACTACAACTCCCATCATTTCCCAGACAGCTTGGGAGTTGTAATCCAAGGCACCTGGGCAAAGGCCAAGTTGGAGAGAGTCTGCAAGCTCGTTTTTCAGGGCTTTGGAGGATAATGGCGCCTTCGGGGAGCCGGCCAGAGCAGGAGCCTAAAGGTGTTTTACTTACCCAGTGCGGCTATTTTGCAAAAGAACAGGGCAACAGATCCCTGCCCCAAGGAGTTTACAATCTAGGAATAGACTCAGGGAAAGTAACAGAAAGAAATGGAGGCAGGGTGGGTGAATGAATGCCAGGGTAAAGCAGGCATTAATGTTTTATTAAGACTTTGTAATAGTAATTAGAAGAATTTGTTGTTAACCATGTGAATATTGTCCTTCGGTGTATCCACACTGCTTTTTTCCGAATATTTAAGGCACTGCCAAGCCAATGCATCAGCCTCTGAGAATGGACACTCTTATTTAGCGGGGCTGAAGCCTAATATATTCATATTAAAATGATTAATATCATTTTAATATGAATATATTGTATTCATATAATACATGTCACCCTAACAAAATAAGATGAAAACAACAAGACAAAAATGTAACGATCCACATAAGTTAATACGCATGAAATGTATTTTTAAACATGAAAACATTGAGGAGCCCCTGATAAGAGGAATCAAGCGGCAGATCAAAGGTTAATCCTTTAATTAACTGAACTTGGTGTTCGAAGGGATATGCCGAAGAGGAATGGAACGGGGTCAGGTTTTCCCCGCTGCTCTGACTTCTGAATTTCCTGGAAAGCGAAGCAGAAACGAGAGCAGTGGGACGGGGAACAGCTGGAAAGTTGGGGTCACGTACCCCTGATCCACCGGCAGCTGGATTTACGGGTACCTGTGCTTGGACTCCCGGATGCGGATGGAGCGGTCGCCCTTCGGGATCCTTCCTCACGGCCTGCTCTCCTCCTCTCCTGCTTCCTTCAGGCCTGGAGTTTCCATGGGGCCCCCGGCCATTCGGCGAGGTGGTTGCCGGACCTCTCCTCCGGAAAAACGGCCAGTCGCAGGAGAGTAGCGTCTTGGAGGGCTCCCATGTCGGCGTTTACTTCTCCGCGCACTGGGTGAGCGGCGTTGACGGCTCTCGCGTGTTTGGCGCGCTCCTTGTTTGACGGGAGAGTGTCTCCTTCTGCTCACAAGAGAAGTGCGGGGAGCTATAGGAGAGCCGGTGCTTCAGCAGTGAGGCGGTGCAGACGGAGGGCTTCTGGAAGGGGCGACGGTTTTGCCGGTCCCTGGCTCTCCATCGGGCCTTGGTCATGCGCACGTGGCCACTTTTCTGGAGGGCTTGGCAGCAGGAGCCTCTTCCAGAGCAGGGGTGCAGGTGCTTTTCCAGCACGCAGCCCGAATTCCGTTCTGGAGGAGCTCATGGGACTGCTCTGGGGATGGGTGGAGCCTAGAGCCAAAAGGGGTGGCCAAAATACCCCCAGGATGCCAGCAGCTTCCACATCAGAGCTCTTCTCCTGGTTTCGAAGCTTAGGAGAGGCATTTTGATCTTTTGCAAGTTGGGAAATGCCAGGAAACTGCCGGAGGATTGGTGGCTGAGTGGAAGCCGGTGGGATTTCTGGGTACTCCCAGAGGGAAGGCTTAATCGGGCCTCCAGGCTTGAAGTTCTGTCTCTGATGAGATCCCCTGTCTGGCAGAGCTCAGACCTGGCAGTGGGTGGGAAACGTGAGATGGCTGTGCCACAGAACACGTGCAGAGTGCATTCCCCTCTTCTGTGAGCAGGTTCATGCCAGTGGATTTCATTCCGCTTCCCGTCGTAGCGGAACTGTGTCTGAAAGCAATTGGGAACGGCTTGTTCAGTCATCACTGTTCTGCCTTGGCTTTGCCTTTTGTTTTGTTCTGGGGAAAGACTGACCAAGTTTCTAGCCCACAATGTTTCTTGTTTTGTGGCCAAAACAAAACATTCTCTGCATTTATTATTATTTATTGATTGGTCTCCAGTGCCCACCCTGCAGAAGCCTCACCCGGGTGCTGGTGGAATCCTATCGGAAAATCAAGGAGGCTGGTCAAAAATTTGAGATTGTCTTCGTCAGCGCAGACAGGTAACAGCTGCTATAGACCTCCTCTCCACCATGGATCTTCCTGTGCCTTTTGGAATCTCTGGCCAGTGAGGCCATATAAGTTTCATAGAAGTTGCTCTGGACGCAGAATTGAGCTATTGAGAATCTCGCCAGAGCAAGCTTCTAGTCCTTATGGTGACCTTGCTGCTGTGCTTAGAAAGCAGGTGCGCTCTCCTTGGCTGAATGCGATTTTGGAGTCTTGGGAAGGGGGAACAGCAGGAAACTCTATTGCATTATCAGAAATATACACACGCACAGGTATAATATACGATAACAGATTAAACAATATAAAATGTGTGCCATTTGGCAATGCAGAACCCAGTGCAGGGATTTCATGACCACGCTGTCCCAGGAAAAAGGGATGATGGGCATCGAAGAAGTGAGGAAGAGAGACAGCATGCAAGGAAAGAGGAACGGGGAGGGTAGAGGAAAAATACCATCCCTCCTTCCGCTTCACCCTCCCAGGTCAGAAGATTCGTTCAAACAGTATTTCAGCGAGATGCCCTGGCTTGCGGTCCCGTATGCTGACGAAGCCCGGAGGTCACGCCTAAACCGGCTCTATGGCATCCAAGGTAGGGCGGAGAAATCATCCGCGTGGAGCTTTGCTCTGAGGGGCAGGTTTCCTGGTTCCCTTCTGTTTCTGGAGCACTTTTTGGCGGAGCGCTAGGGGAAAAATCTTAATGGGAGGACACATGGAGTGCTGTTCCTTTCTCTGGGCAGCAGAAACTGGCCGGCTGGGGATGTCCCACCACCAGTGAGGAGGCTGGGCTGGAGGACTCCAGAGGCTGGCATCGCAGTTCTGGCTCCGGCAGGGGGCAGCGCATGGGCAAACTTGGCAAGCAGGGTGAGAGGCCCCCCGCAGCCGAGTGGCGGCCCCAGGCGATGGGGATTTGCTGAGAAGCACCTTCATTCATCGGTCCCGGTGGCCGTCCTGGGGGGAAGGAGAAGGCGCTTGTTGTCCCTCCCTCCCCCCCCCTGCTCCAACCAGTGATCCTGCTGGCTCACACTCGCTTCAAGCTGCTAGTCCTCAAGGGTGCCCAGTTCAAGGCCTGTGGTACCTGGCACGCTTGGCCTGGACTTCATCACTCCAGTGTCCGGGTGTGTTTCTCCCAGTCGGCTGGGTAAGGAACGCTGGCGCATGTGGGGGGGCGGGATGAGCCGTCTCCCTCCTGCGTTTCCTCAGCCTCCTCGGAAACCCGATTCCGGGACAGCTGAGGAGCAGGTGGCCTGCTGGACAGGAGGCGTCTCTTGACATCCATCAGGGTTTTCAGGCCACTGAGGGGCGGGGAGGGGAGCAAAATTGAGGGAGGAGAGGGGAACAAAATGTATTAAGTTTTGTTTACATAAAATAAACAAACATAATACATACAATACCAATTAAAACCCCCGATTCACCCTGGCTGCAAATGAAAACCTATAGATCATATTAAAAGTTGTTAAAATATTGTTTAAATAAAAAGGTTTTAGCCTGCGTTCGCCGGGCAGGCAGACAGGGTGGCTCGAAAGGGCAGCTTGATCTGGTTCAAAGCTCTTGTTCCCAGACAAGAGGGAGTCCTTCCTGTTCACGGAGCAAAAATGGGGAAGCCATCAAACTGGGGGGCACTGGGAGAGTGGGGGGGGGGGCTTGGAGGACTGGATGGACCTCCCGGGAGGGGCAGAGCTGTGGCGCACGCCTTCCCAGGGCTGGACAGAAACCAATTCCGCCTCTCCGGGATAAATCCGTCGCCTCTGGGCCTCTCCAGGTTGGATTCCTGCAGTTTTGTCGTTGAAGGCAGCGCTCCTGGGGAGGGATTTGGGAAGGGGGCGCCTGGGGGGGCTGAGGATGCAGAACTGTGGAGTGGCTTAGCCCCCTTGCATTCCCCCCCCCCAAATAATTGAGGATGGGGGGGTATACAAATGAGCCCTGAACCATAAACTGGAAATTGAATCAAGGCTGCGATCTTGAGCGTGCTTCCTTGAAAACTAAGCCCATCAAAACCGCTAGGGGTTTCTCGGAGAAAATATGCCTGAAATGTACCGTCACTGGAAAGTTAAGGCATGAAACCGAGTTCCATCGCTCTCCCAACCGCTGAAATGTACTTTGGCTTTTTGTATGCGGGGGAGCTGCTGCAGAACAAGCCAGCCAGCTTGCTCTTTCTTTGGAAAGGTCAGAAAGCCAACGTGTCTCATACCACCTTAAGGACTAGTACATTGACTATGCCATTTTAAAAACCATTAAGGTGGCATGAGACCCTTTCTTGTTTTTGCCACTGCTGAGCAGTATAACTGTTCCTTTGCACAGTGTAAATCAAAGGACACTTGGGAGCAGAGCGAGGAAGGGACGCGCCTGGGGATGCTGGGCTTTGGGGGCTGACGGAACGGAGGGGGGTCTGTGTCCCCTCCCGTGTCCCGCCCTTCGGCTGGCAAAGGCCACGGTGCCTGCAGAGGCCTCCTGGGCGCTCCCCACAGCCCCGTCCCCGTCGATCCTCAAGCGGGCGCCCTGATGTCTCCCTGCCCAGGCATCCCGACCCTCATCATCCTCGACCCCAAGGGGGACGTGATCACCCGGCAGGGCCGCGTGGAGGTGCTGAACGACATCGAATGCCGCGAGTTCCCCTGGCACCCCAAGCCCGTCCTGGAGCTGACCGACTCCAACGCTGTCCAGCTGAACGAGGGTCCCTGCCTCGTCCTTTTCGTAGGTAAGGAGCCCCCCCCCACCCACCCACCCCACATCCTCCTGCAGCTCTCGGCCTCTGGGAGCCCTTCCTTCCTGCATCTCCCCGCTTCTTTCATCTCAGCCAAGGAGGTCACACGAAACGAGAGGGTGCAGAATGTAGGTCATTGTCAAGTTGGAAGAAGTTTCTAGACCTCATGATTGCAAAGATACCCTTAAGAAGACATAGGTGGTTTGATTTCTGGCATGGTAGAATAATGGGGTCCCCCCTTCTTTCATCTCAGCCAAGGAGGTCACACGAAACGAGAGGGTGCAGATTGTAGGTCATTGTCAAGTTGGAAGAAGTTTCTAGACCTCATGATTGCAAAGATACCCTTAAGAAGTCACAAGTGTTTTGATTTCTGGCATGGTAGAATGAAAACCCTAGCAGATGGGGAGGCAGTGGGGCAGGGGGGACTTGAGAACTTTGCACGGAGCTCCGTGCCCCATCGCGTGCCAGAAGAATGCAGAACCGGCTTGGCACGATGTCGCAGAATCCAGCACTGCAGTGTTGCGGAAGCTGAGCCCCCTGGGGCCAGAGACTCTTCTCCTGCTGCCCCGTTTTCAAATCGAGTGCACAGCACCCTGAAGAAGCACCGATTCGGGCCAAGAAGACGGGCTTTGCCAGATCAGGCCAACCGAGGGATTCGCCCCAGTGTCCTGTCCCCGCCGTGGCCAGCTCCCCGAGTGGGACAAGAAAGCGAAGCGTCTTTCACGCCACACGGTTCTTCCCCCGGCTCGGCTGCCGCCACAGAATTGCAGGCTGCAAATCCGGGATGCCAGGCAGGGAATTCGCCCCTTCCCCAGCCCAGGGCGGAGTTGTAATCCCCGTTAATCGGATGAGTGGCCGCAGCGCCCCGCTGGCTCGCTCACAATGGCGCTCCGTGTGACGCCTCCCGGCATCCGCCCGGCTCTCGCCGGCCAAGGGCTCCCGCTGCGTCTGAATGCGGCTGTTTGCCCACTGCCGGAGTTCGGGCCGGGGTTCCTCCCTGCGCCCCCTTTTATACGGCACGGGCTTCAAAGCGCCCCGAGGCTCCGTCGGGCCCCCAAACCCACCCGCAGGCGCCACGCATTCCCGCCCTGTGGGCTCGGTCTTGCTTTAGCCAGCGGGCCTCGGACGAATCCCGAGGCTTTTGAAAGTGCTCCTCCGATGGCGAGCGCGCCGGCCTTTCCGCTCGGGGCGCTGCTTCGCCCAGGCTGGCGCAGCGGGAGCAAATCCGCGCGTGTAGCGATTTGCACGCCGCTGCTTCGTGCGATTTCTCCTCGTGAGGTCACGCGTCCCCTTGCGGAGGAGAGAGCCTCACAAACGGGGCGAAAACCAGGTTTTGCCTGCCTGGTTTGGCTCTGCTCTGTGGGTTGCACCCGCCGCTGTCCCGGTCCCCGTTCCTTTTAATCCTCACAACGACCCTGCCGGGTAGGTCGGGGGAGACGGTGACTGGCCTGTAGCTCCCCAATGAGGGATTCATTGAGCAGGGATCCCCATTTAGTCACCCTTGATGCTTCAGTGTGGGTCCTCCAGGCATTTCGGACTGAATTACCTGTAAGGGCCGGCCAGTGTGGCCACAAGAAGGACCAGCCTGTCGCCCCGATCGCTTCTCCCGGGCTTGGATCGGGCTCCTCCGTCCGCAAGCCTCCACCTTGTTCACTGGCAGCTCGTTTTCCTGCGTTGCTACCAAAACAGGTTCGGCCGCGGCAAGAGCGAGGCTCCCGGTTTTCCGTGCTGCCTGCTTCAGTCTCTGCAGCCTGCAGCCCCCCGCCCCTTCGTCCTTCCCCGGCGCGCCTCCTCTTCTCTTCGGCTTGACCCCACCGCCTGGTCCCCTCCGCCTCCCCTGCAGCTCTCCACTCAAGGGGTCTCCATCCCCGCTGGGACCCATTTCCCCCAGCCGTCTCCCGGAGCCGGGGGTGCCGATCAACCGGCTCGCCTCCCGGGGGCTGATGGACAGGCAGGCGCTCGCTAACGAGGGAGGCCCCGGGGGGGCCATTATCTTTGCCGGATCGTAGCGTCTCCCCCAGCTGCGCCTGCCCGTGCTTGGCTGGCATCGCCGACGGTCGCCCCTCGCAAAGAGCGTGTGGCCGGCTGTCCCTCTCGATGTGACCTTCCAAAATGCTAAAAACCCTGCATCCGACTCTTCTTTCTCATCACGCTTTGGGTGTGTGGCCCTGCTCTCTCAAAGGCGGCCTCGGAGGGCTCCGTGGGAAAAGGATTTTTAAAAAGGAGAGCCACTCCACCTCGTTCGGTCCCCGCCTATCCAAGGTCTAACTCTCAATATGTAGAAGGACGGCCCTGGGGAACTCGGCACGATCGGTCGAGCTGGACCTCGCGTCGTTCTTGGCACGTCGCTTCGCCGCTTTGTTTTGAGGCCCGTTGCAAAACGAATCTTATTTTTCCGTGTTAACTTACCCTTGAAATTGCATTCTGCATTTTTCTCCTCGCGCTTTGAATGTAAAATAAAAAGAGGCAGTCAGAAATAACATAAAAAGACAACTGCGAAGGCCAGGCCGTGGAAGGAAGAAAACAGCCACCGGCGTGCCGTCACCTAGCAATTAACATGAAAAGAGCCGTTTGATGGATCACCATAAAAGCAGAGCAGCCGAGAGAAAATTGACAGTTAAATTGCCTGGAATGATTTCAAAACTGCCTGTACTGGGCACCCAAATTGCAGCCGACTTGGCGTCAAGGGAGCCTGGATGGAGAGGAGGTTCTCCGAATGCGGTGCCATCACGGGGAAAGTTCTTTCCCGGACCGTGGCCGGCTGTTTCTGAGATGGAGATGGGATTCCCCGAGGTCTCTGGACCGTGTCCTGGGGCGGACTGGATCTCCACTGGGTGGAGAGAAGCGCTCGGGGGCTGAATTGGGGGTGGGAGGCGAATTGCCCGAACCCCTAGCCTCTTTTCAGCTGGGCAATATCCTGAGCTAAATTTGAGCAATGAGCATGTAGGAAGAGCAGGCAAATCCGGGTTGGTAACCCATGGGAACAGAGAGAGAGATTCCCTGCTTTTTGTGGAAATATTCCCTGGAAAATCTGTCTATTCCTGTCTTGCCCGCATGAGATTCAAAGCCCGTAGCCGTGCCCCAGGGCCCCGCTGCCGCTCTCCGCCTCGAGGCCGCCCCGGGGCGTCTTCACGCCAACCCTTTTCCGGTCCCGCAGATTCCGACGACGACGGGGAGTCCGAAGCAGCCCGGCAGCTGATCCAGCCCATCGCCGAGAAGATCATCGGCAAGTACAAAGCCAAAGACGAGGAGACTCCGCTGCTGTTCTTCGTGGCCGGAGAGGTACGTGGCCCCTCTCGCTCGCCGCCCACGATTCCCTTCCAGACCTGAAGCTGGTCAGCTGCGTTTTGCACTGGTCTGCTTCCGTTGGGAAGGAAAGGAGGATCGACCATGCAGGGCCGCAGACCTGGGTTCAACCCAGGAGCCAAATTCCACCCCAGAAAGTCCTGGGGGGGGGGCATTCCAGCAGTGGGCGGGGGTGAAGGAAAAGCGGAGGGGCCTGCTTTAACTTCAAGGCATCTGGGTCCTGCAGAGGATTTCCAGCATTCCCAGCTTTCAGGAGAGGAAGCTGGGGGAAAGCAGCCCAAAACTGGGGAGCCCCCAAATAATTAGTGATTGGGGCAGGAGGGAGTTGTAGAAGCCCAGGGGGGCTGATTGCGAGCTGCGGGGGGGGGCGCATCCAATTCTCTGTGCCTGAGGTCTTTCTGCCGGAGCGAGTGCCTAAATTTGGGAGGGGCAGCCAAGATTATGCAGTGGGAAACAAAGGAAAAGGGAAGCTAATCAAGTCACACAGGAGAGGGGGTCAAGGATTCTGGTTCCGTGTTAAGTGGACGCACAACAACCCTGTAAGGTAGGACAGTGCAGTTTTCACCCCTTTATAGGGGTGAGCGTCAGGGAAGAAACTTTAGACTTGAGCCCCAGTAGCTCCACAGCTGATGGGACGGTGCGGTGTCCTTTCCAGAGGGCCCGGCCTCTGACGGAAGGTGGGAAATTGCACCGTGGAATCATTCAGCCGCACGAAACAAGCCAGCAGCTCAGGAGAAAGCTTGGGCTGGAAGAGCCTTGCCTTGACCTGCAGGATCTCTGCCTGCGAGCCTGCGTTTGCCACATTTCTGTCTGGCTTCCCCCCCTTTTTGCAAGGACCCCAAGGCAGGTGCCCTCTTTCCCCTTGCCATACTTTTGACACCACTGGCTCAGAGTCACCCGGGGGCTTGATGAACCGGTGAGAACTTGCACCCGCGCCGGCCCAAGGCCAGCTCCCTGGCCGTTGCGCCAGCCTTGCTCTCGAGATTTCTGCACGACTGCGAAATTCCATGCCCACGTGTTTTGGGTGACGTTTTGCTCTCAGGCTTGGGCTTTCTGACTTTGAAATGGGGCCCTTCCGGGCAGCCATTCATTCTACCCCCGGACAAAATCAGGTGTGCAGAGAATCATGCAGGGACACGCCGTGGGACAACCACGCAGACTCATACAGAGACACACAAACACGGGAGCAGAGAGAGAGACACACTCAGATGAGGGGGGAGGCGGTGGAACGTGCGGGGGGCAGCCGAGAACACGGGCACATGCCTGTCGATGCTCGCGTGGGCGCCTGCGGCGTGGGCGACAGGCCCGCGTGCGTGGAGACAAAGGGATGCCCCCGGCCCCGTCTTGCAGGCCTGCGTCGCGCCCCTCTTTGTGCCCCCCCCCCGCCCCCGGGCCCCCCCCCCCCCCCCAGCCACCTTTGGGACGCCTGAATGCACGCCTTGTTGCAAAGCTGCGTTCCCAACAAAGGCTGGGCGCCCAGCTCGCCCCAGGAAATTATTTCCTCCCGCCCCCCCCCGCCCCACCGCATCGGTAAAAACACTGCCGGTCATTCATCCGCACGCCATCTGCTCGCCGGCTCCCTGACAGCCGCGTCAACGAGCCATTCATCACCTCCGGGGCGCCCCTGCCCAGCCGGCTCCGCGCCCCCCTGGCCGGGGAGGGGGCAGGCCGGGGAGGGGGCTGCGGCAGGGGCAGGGGCAACGCCCCCGCGGCTGCTGGCGCCGTGCGGATGTGCGGGCAGTGCGGCACGGGGGCGGGCGCTCCCTCGCCGCGCCTCCTCCTGCTCGGCGGTTCTCGCACGCACGACGGCGGCTCGGAGACGGGCCACACCTGTCCGGCCCCCCAGAGCAAGGGCAGCCGGGATGCATCCTCAGCAGCTGCCTCCACCCCCGGCAGGGCTGGGAGCGCCGCGGTGGCCCCCGGGGGCCGAGGCGGTGGCCCCCGGGGATGGGAGCAGGGTCCGCCTCCGTCGGGTGCCGGGAGGAAGTGGGGGCGCTGTTTCTGGCAGGGTGGTGAGGAAAGGAGAGGCGCTGGCCCCGAGCCACGGCGTTGGGGGCAAGCGCTTGCTGGCAAAGGGGCTTCTTGCTCTGGCGCCTGGAGCCACGTTCCGCCCACTGGGCGCCCCTGTGCGCCCCCCTGCCGGAGGAGCGCTCCCTGGATGGCAACGTTGCTGTTTGGTGGTTAGCGTGGCAGTGTGGTGTAGTGGTGAGCGGAGGGGTGTTGCCTCAAACACACCGTTGACGTGTGTGTTCGAGTCCTTGCACAGCAGTGGGAGAGCACCCAGGAAGGGTGTTTGCCACGGATGCCGTGCTGAGCGCCTAGGAAAGGTGCACGCATAAAAAGCGAGTGCAGTACATTAAAATGTGCTTCTCTCTCTACAACACCCCTGTAAGGTGGGCCAGAATCAGCATCGTTCCCCCTGCCACAGAGAGCAAAGCCGAGCGAGGGAATGCGTGGGGACTGAGATGCAAGCAGGCGCTCCGCACGCCCTTTCAACTACTTTTTTCCTCTCGGCCATAAGGACTAGAAAATTAGCCCACCCATCAGCTTTAAAAAGTTCTCCAACTGCATTGCACGTCTGTACTGAGGCTTCCCTGGCCACAGTTCAGTGTGACGCTGCAAAGCAGAATTGAAATGGGAGAGAGAGAAGCGACGGGCCCCCTTCACCTCCTGCACATCTCGGTCCTGTTGTCCAGGAGATCGGCGGAGGAGACGCATCTGGGAAACTCCGCTGCCGAGTCTCCTTGGAGCGTCTGGCCCAGGCCTGTAGGCCTGACCGCAGCCCCTCGGAAAGAAAATGGGGCGGGTGGTCCAGGCTGCTGACCTGCTGCCCTTCTGAGCAGGCGGGGGGGGGGGCCTCCAGCCACGGGCCTTGGGCCGAGCTCCCTCTGTGGCCTGGCGCTCCGGCGGGGCTGGAGGCGGGGGCCCAAGACGGCCCCCTGCTCCTGCCCAGCCCCGTCCCTTCCAAAACCCCGGGTAGACTTCCGCGATCCAGCAGCGCCTCTCCACGGAGCACGAGGAAGCACACCTAGCCCTCTGCGCCCCCCTCCCCGTGTCATCCTCGCGCCAGCCCTGCGAGGTAGGCTCGGAAAGCCTCTTGCAAGCCTTGGCGGCCTTCCGTCACTTGGCAAGCAGAGTTCATAGCTGCCCCGGAGGAACATAAGCCTCCGAAACCGGAGCATCGAACGGAGGGGGCTCGAGCCGTCCCCGTGCCCACGGCACGTCACCCTCCGCAGAGTCGGGACACAAACTGCGCACGTTCAGTTGTGCCTTCCGACCTCCTCCGCTGCTCCTGCTCAGAGCCTTTTCTCCGCCTGCAGCGTTTCAGAGCCGCGTGGCGTCCGTGAACCCGCTCCGGGTTTGGTGAGCCGCCCGGTTGGGCCGCTGGGCTTCAAAGGCGTGTAATGAACACCCTTTCTCTTTTTTTTAATCATAAGCTTTCTTCAAAATTATGGTCCTAAAAACAAAGAAAAACTAAAAACAACGTCGATCATCAAAAACATCGGGCCTGCTGGGTCAGCCCCCACATTTTTCTTCCATTTATGATAACTTAAAAACTTATTTATTTATTTAGGGGACTTCTATGCCGCCCCATTCGCCAAAGCCTCGGGGCGGCTCGCAAACCATAAATAAATAGAATTCAGTAAAACAATGTAAATTAACAATATAAATTAAGTCGCCCTGGCCAAAGAATAAATAATATTAACAACTGAAATAACATTTGAATCCAATGTTTAAATCTATATGCGGTCCGTTTCTCTCGCCAATAATAAAAAGAGCCCCAGGTTTGATAGACGTCAGTATCTTCTTCCTCCTTCGACGACAAAGCCAGTCTATCCATTTCCGCCCAGGCCAAGGTCTTTTTTAGGATCGGCGTGTCGGTGGGTGGTTCCTCACTTACGGACAAGCTTTCTCGAGACCGGGGCGGGCGGCTCTCGCCCGCCGCCCGCTCAGCCTCTCTTTCCGTCTGGCAGGACGACATGACCGACTCCCTGCGGGACTACACGAACCTCCCCGAGGCCGCGCCCCTGCTCACCATCCTGGACATGTCCGCCCGGGCCAAGTACGTCATGGATGTGGACGAGATCACGCCCGACATCGTGGAGACGTTTGTGAATGACTTTCTAATGGACAGGCTGAAACCTGAGCCCATATAGAGCCGAGCGCAGGCAGGGGGGCTCGGAGCCGGGGGGCTGCCCCGCCGGCTGCCCTTCCCAGCCTCGCTCGGACGTTACCCGCCCCCCCCGCCCCCCAGCTCTGTATGCAGCCTGCGCTTGACCTCCTGCGGTGCCTTGTTCTCAAAAGCAGAGCTTTCTCCTCTCCCGGGTGCCTCGGAAGCCAGCTTTCTCGCAAGGTGCTGTTCTCGGCGGGAGGTGCTGGCGGGGTGCGGGGGGGAGACCCGGCGTGGGCACGGGGGGCCGGTGGGACGCCCGGGGCGGCGTGGTCCGGACGTGCACTAGAAGGGCGGGCGCCTCGCCCCTTGCGCGGGCCGCGTCGCCATTTTAAACATGCCTTCGGGGCCGCTCACACAACCGGCGGCACGGCAGCCGTGGTCCCCTGCCTCCTCCCCCTCGCCTTCCCGGGGGGGGGGTACCCCTTCCTCCTGCCCCCGCCCCATCCCATCCCAAGCGAGCCCACTGACCCGTCGAGACCGTCTGCTTTTGCTGACTGTTTCGAAGGAAACCTCGCCGGGAGCCAGGCAGTTCCCCCAGGAAATCATCCCCTTTGCTTTTGGGGATCGGACGAGGGTCTTCCACAGCTTCCAAAACACCCAAGGGAAGCATTTCAAGCAATGCCGATCCCAACCAGTCCGTGTGACCGATAAGATTTCATTTCCTCTCTTTGTCAAATTAGGGACATAAGCACAGAAACAGAGCGGGTCAGAAGGGGCCTCCGGGCCATCTAGTCTGACCCCCGGCCCCAGCCGGCTCCGCTCAGGACGTGCCCACCATGTGGACGTCACATTAGGGATGAGTTAGGAAGACGGAGGTTCCTCAGCTGAATCCAGAGCCCAGAACCAAGCTGGACAGGCTGAGGTACGAGATGCAGCGCAGCTTTTGCGAGGGCACCGCTGCCCAGGTCCCCGCTCGCCGAGCTCGCTCAGGTTACAGTCCGGGTCCCGTCCCTCTTGCAATTCAGTGCCGTGCGTGTGACTGATCTGGCCAACAGACTGTCTGTCTTGGATGACCGTCGGCATGGAAAGGACGCTATTCCCATCGTCCTCCTCCAGTTGGGACTGTGACCCAAGCAGCTGGGCTGCTGCCCCCTTGCCCAGGCGGCCTCCCGGGCATCCGATGTCCACACTTAAGGACCGGGAAGTGCCGGGCAAATTAAATTCGCCAGTGTCCTGGCGTCTGCAGCCCCGTCTTTACAGGAGTCAAAGCACAAGAGAGGGGGATGGGCAGGTATGGGGGGCTTTGGGCCCCCCTGGGAGATAGAAAGGGGGGAAGAGGACAGGCTGCAGGAGCTGCCCCATGGGGTGACGATGGGGGGAACCGTTTGCATGGAATGGTCCAGATTTTGGAGCCAAGCCTTCCAAACTAATAAATGCATCGTTATTCTCTTTTTTTTTTCCCTTTTGGAGAGTGGTAGGGCAGCCAGCCCCACCTCTAAATTAAGCCGAAGGCCGTTCCCTCCCCTCTGCTTCAAAGGTGACCCATCTTCCCGTGCTTCTAGCCAGAGACGCCACCCAGTTCAAAGCCGCCCCGAAATCCGGGTTTACTTGGAGCAGCGAATCACCTATTTCAGTGCTTTGCCCCACGGTGGGAGGGACGGCACCGGCTGCTCGGACGGGCAGCGAGCTTTTCAGAGGGGCCCTCCTGTAGCCGAGGGCCGGGTTCCGCTTTCCACCCCATGCCGAAAGACTCGCAGCCGGCCCCCGACCAACGGGCCACCCCCCAGCGCCCCCGAAAGAACGCCTCGGACTGCTTTACATCGATCCGTTTCTTTTTCACCCCCTTCTTTGTAGAGCCCTCCCTTCACATAAGTACCCCCCCCACCCCACATGCAGACAGCTGGTAGTTGATAGAGTGGGCCTCCGCAGAGGCGGTTTCCCCTCGTCAGCGCCGCCCTCGGCCCTGGGCAGGGAGGGGGAGCCGTGGCACTCGAGTCGGGAAGCGCGGCGCCTGCTCCTCTTGCTTCTTTTCCTCTGGCGAAGTCGGACGTTGTAAAAACTGTACATGGTGATTGGAACTTTGTAATAAAAACTGTTCTAGGAACCGGAATTGCTAGGAGTGTGCTGTAACAGTGGGGGTGGGCAGTGACTGGGGGAAGAGAGGTGGGGATGGGGCAGGAGAGGAAACGGCCCTGTAGGATACGTGTTATGGCAAAGGTGGTTTAGGAACCTCGGGCAGCCTCACAGATGGTGGGGGCAGCCTACTTTCAAAAGCTGGTCCGTTCTGCCCAAAATGACCAATGCTTCATTTGTTAGATAAAGCAAAGTTTCTAGTCCATATGAGGATTTGGAGGAGAAAAAAAGCATGCTCATTTCTTCTAAGGTGGGGTATATGCTGTGTATGGTCTGCCAGATTCTCTGTGCCTTTTCTTTCGTAGGCTCTTAAAGATTGCACTTTCCCTGTCCTTGCTGGAGGGAAACACTCTGAACTTTACCAGAGCGCTGCCCCCTGCATGCAGAGTTCAGCCGTCTGCGTTCGGCCCTCTAAGCCCTCCCCCGTCGGGTGTCCTCCATCCAGCAGCCTAACCATCTGGAAGGCGGCAGGTAGGGAAGGCTGGGCTGAGCCGTGCCAGTGGCACTTCCGTCAGAGGTGGAGGAGATGGTCTTGCCTGCGCCAGGCCGGGGGTGGCGCCCACGTCCCAAGACGGCCGCTTGGTGCGCTGAGGGCCCTCGGCACGGATTCGGCCCTTGCCCGGCCCTGAAGCGGCCGTGCGACCCTCTGCAGCGGTTTGCCGCAGGGACCGTGTCCCTTGGAGTCGAGGCCCATGAGGCCCGGCACGATAAGAGCCTGGGCTGAAGCCAGCAAATCCCGGTGCTGCACCCGCGTCGTTCCAGAACCGCTTCTGGATGCCGTCAGCAAAGGGAGATGCCGAGGCTGCAAGAATGCAAACTCCGGCTGCTCACGTGGGAATCCTTGCACCGACACACTGCCACCTTCCGGGCAGAGGAAGATGCACAGCCTGCGTGGCCCATGATTAAGAACCCACAGGAAATTCCACCCCACCCAAGCCTGGCTAGGTAATAATTAGGAAAGAAACTACTTTCGGGACTAATGAAGACATGCACAGAAGTTTTCGTCCGGGCAAGCCGTTCCAAAGATGTTGCCGGCATTTGGCAGCAGGCGCGATTCCTCTGGGGGCGATGGGAAAGCAGACGGCGCCGCGTCCGTGTGTTACAAAAGGTTGAAGGCGCGGTGGTGCACGCATGTTCCGGTGGGAAAGGAAAAAGGCAAGGAGACGCCTTGGGGCCGTTGTTCCCTGTCCCTTCCTATCAACATGGGCATGGAGAGAAAGAGAAGATCCAGATGTATTCCACACACATCTGGCCTCTGCGTAGAGAGAGACACCTTCTCTTGGTGGAAGCAGATTGCAAGCTCTTGGGAAGCCCCCCAGGAGCCAACCTGCACAAGGGCAAAGTGCCCTCAGAGCTCCTGCTCGGGAAGGCAGGGCGGGAGAAGGAAGGGCCGGTTTGGGGATGGGCTCTTGCTCAAAGCACGGGGTGGGACGTGCTTGCAAACCCAGCCCCCCAGGGGCCGAGAGGAAAGGTCACTCCGCAGAAGGAAGCGACAGAGGCCGGGAAGCGACGCTGGGCTGGCTGAGCCTGGGGCCACGGGAGGCCGTCTGGCAGCAGGGACCACCTGCTTGGAGGCTTTGGCATGGAACCCGAGCACGCCGTCGCCGGGGCGGCCGTGCCAGTCGCTGAGTCACACGTCCCGCATGCATGCAGCTCGCCTGCCAGGAAAACCAGGAGGGTTAAGTCAGCTCTGTGAAGCGCCTGCTGGCAGACGCGGCTCTGGCGTGGCTGATGTGTCTTTTTGTCCCACCGATCTGGGCATGGCCTGGGACGGAGGCAGTGAAAGCTGCGCCTGGACTGCCCTTCCCGAGACAACGCCCTCCCTTCATTCGACGCTTACATCTCCCTGCATGGAAGCAACTTGCGCATCATGGAGAGAGGAAAAAGGAATCATTCTTCCCGAATGGGTAGTTTTCTCACAGGCAAGACATTTTTTTATTTTAAACAGAAGAAGGGAGAAAGAAACCGGTATTTCTGCCCTTGCAAGTGGCACAGTGAGAAACACAAGCCGATTTGTCCCCCAGAATATTTAGTGGCAGGGAAAAAAACCTTTCCATAAACTGCCGACTGGAAGCGACAGATGGCCCGCTTCTCCCTTCAGCTTCTGCTCCATCTTGCACACCCGACAAGACGGCCGTGGACCTGGGTGAGCTGCTCCGCCGGGCCAGAGGAGAAGCAGCACTGCCGCTGTGCAGCTGCCCCCGTGCAGCAGGCGCGGCGCGCTGGAGACGCAGGCGAGCCTTTTCCCCCAAGCCACCCGCTAGGGACCGAGCCTCACAAGTCCACATCCCTCAGGAGTTCAGCTGCAGCTCGGCGGTACGGCTCGTTCCTGGGAGCTGCAGCTGTCGCTTCGCCTCGAAGAGCAGGATGCTGGCGGCCATGGCGCAGTTCAAGCTGTCCACCCCGGGGACCACCGGGATGTGCAGCCGCCTCCCGCCCGTGCTCTTGGCCAGCTTCTGTGCAGCGGTGCTCACGCCGAGCGTCTCCCCACCGATGACCAGGGCTGTGGGTCCGTCCGTCCATTGCTCGCCGTAATGGCAGCTTTCCAGCGAAAGCATTTCTTCCTCTTGGGCGCCTTCCGCATTGCCGCCGCCGCCGTCAGACTGGGTCATCTTGGCCTTCCGATGGGAAGGACTGGAGACCCAGCCGTGGCTGCTGGCCGCGGGGCTGACCGGCTCTGCCTCGGGCTGGACGCTGTCGGCCACATGCACACAGCTTCCGAGGAGAAGGTAGTTCGGCACGACCTCCCACTCCAGGTTCGAGATGATGGGGAGGCGGAAGTGAGCACCCATGCCTGCCCGGAGCACTTTGGGCTCCCAGGCATCCACGCAGCCTGACGGGGGAAAGGAGACGACCAGCTCATGGTGAGAAGGGCGCGGGCGGGGCAGCCAAGCCGTATGAATCGGCAGCAAGCGGGGCAGCACCGTCCTCTAGCAACATCCCCTCTTCACCAGCTCTACTCTGTGTGGGACGCCTTCCTCACCCGCCCCGGTTGCAGGGCAGTGAGCGGCCAGGCGCCTGCGGAAGGGCTTTTCCCGAATGGCCCATGCCGGGACCCCACGGAGGGCTGGGGCTCCTGCAGGCACTGAGAAAGGCCCTGCAACCCTGCTTGTTGGCCCTCGCCTCGCTCGGGCGTCGCTGTGGACATTTTCCCTGCACGAGTCCGCTGCTTTGGGAAGGGGCCCAGGGACCGTGTAAAGGAGTCTTGGACTGGCTCGGGTGTCGGCAAGGCCCGCTTCCTCCCCGGGGAGGGAATGCACCGCAGCCCCGGTCGAACCCCCCTGCCTCGCTTGCAAGGCAACGCCGTTTTACGCCCGTCCTCCCCAGGCACAAGCCCCCACCCCAAACCGCGCCTGCGCCTCACCTTTGACTAGCAAGACCTTGCTGCAGCCGGCTCCAGCCGCCGATCTCAGGATGGTGCCCAGGTTCCCCGGGTCGCGGACGTTGTCGCAGATCAGGGAGAGGGGCAGCACGTGCTGCGGCTTGACTTCCGGGTAAGTCATTTTAGAGTGGTCCGGTCTGGAAAAGATTCCTGAGGAAACGGAGGGAGACGGTTTTCCCTCAACGTCCCGCCACAAAATCAGAGCAGGGGGAGGTCAAAGGGCTGGCAGCCTGCCGGGGAAAGCCGTACTCCTGAGGGCACCTCAGCTCGGAGCCTAGAAAGAGCCCCCAACCACGGCTTTGCATTAGGACCCCATGCAACTGAGGACACGGTCCAAATATTTTGGGGAGCACACTGGCCAGGGGAGGGGGCAGGCTGGATGAGGAGAAAGAGACTGGCGGGGAGGGGAGGTGGGGCCCAGGAGCAGTGAGGCAGGACACAGCAGAATGAATGAGGTGTGGGGGAAATCCGGAGAGGTAAGAAAAGGGAGAGCGTGAGCATGGGGCGAGCAGTCCTGCTCTTGTCCAAACTTTAGGGCTGGACTGGCAGCGTTTATAGGCTTCCACTCAAGAGAACTTCCAAAAGACATTGAGCTTTGGATGCTGCGCAGAGACATCCTGTTCCAACAGATTCCCAGGAAGGAGCGTGACAGTAGCGGCCCCTGAAGGTCGTTCCCTTCTCTTCACAGTTCCCTGCCCTCACACTTGGTCCAAGGGCTGCTTCCAGGGTGTCAACTTACCAAGCACCCCCTGAGGAGCAGTGACATCAGACCAGGCTTTCAGGTCTTTGAACTTCACCTTGATGAGGCTGGCTTTTTTCAGTTTGGCCACTGGCAGCTCCTTCACGTAGCCGAGGTTGCTGAAGAAGAGCATCTGGGGGATGGCCCCAGCCTCCAGCGCGTCGGCGATGAGCCGCTGGCCTTCTAGGAGGATTTTCCCGTGCCTCTCACGGAACGCCCTCGACTTTGCGATCGTCACCACCTTGCTGCCAAAAAAATAATGCTTAACAAATAATTCAAGAAGAAAGAACCCGCTTCACTAGAGCAAGTCCAGCAGGCCCCAGTTTATGGTTCAGAGATATCAGGAAAACACACCTGCAGCAAGATCTGCCCCCCCCCCCGAAGGGGGGTTGTGCTACTCCCCCTGGATATCAGTGGTCTTCCTGCCCTATCACTACCCAAATGCTGCAAAGGTTCAGGAAGAGGGTTCTAAGGTCCTTACAGGAGGACTGGGATAAAAATCAAAATTTAAATCTTGCTCGGCTGCTTCCTCTGGCTTTTATGTGTTATCTGGGGTAGGGACAGCCTGGGGATATCCAGGTCACGTGCACTACAACTACCATAAGCCCCAGCTGACATGGCCCATGGGCAGAGGTGCCAGGCTGGCCATTCTCCCGAATGGACACGCTTGTGGAAAACTCAACAGCCGGCTTGGCCGGGGATTTTGGGAACGCTGATTTCGAGCGCGCCTTCGGACCGGCTCGACGGCCCAGCCGCAAGGGCTTTCGGGAGTTGCAGTTTCCAGGCTCCCTCTGGGCTGAGAAATACAGCTCCCAGCATGCATCGCACCCACACCTCCGGCTGCTGCGCGTCGCGGCTCCCCCTCCCAGAATCCAGAACTACACACCAGCTCCAGGAATGGCTTGTTTTGGGGGGACGCGCGCGGCATCTCCTCCCAGCCAAAACTACAGTTCCCATGATGCTTTGCGCGCCCGCGCAGACAGGTTTTACCTCAGCCTTTTGTCGCCCGGCCCGACCCGCTCGTAACGAAGCTCCACCTCCTGCTCCTTTGCCTCCTGCGCTTCCTGGGGGGCCTTCTCCGCCGGGCCGGGCCGGGCCCGGGGCTTCGGCGCGGGCCGGGCCCCGGGGAGGACGCCCTTCTGCTGCTGCTGCTCCCGCGCCTGCGCGATCGAGGGCAGCACGCGGACGGGGCTCCTCCTCAGCGCGCGCACCCGCCTCCGGCCAGCCGCCGCGCTGCCCCAGGCCGGCCTCGGCACCAGCAGCGCAGCCGCCCGCGCGGTCCTCACCAGGGCCGCCATCTTGTCGAGCGGCCTCGCGAGGCTCCCGTTGCCAACGGCGACGGCGTCCCTTTCCCGATAAAAATGGCCTCTCGACCATAGAGTCGCACAGAAGCGGAGCGGCGCGTGCGCAGCCGCGACACGTCATAACCGCGCCGGAAGTGCAAGCTCCCCTTCTGAAAAGGAAGGCCAGGCGAAGGTTCGGCTTTGTGCTCAGTTTGTGAGGGAAGCGAGGGAAGCAAAATGAAGGCGCGGCGCGCGCTGCACTTCGTGTTCAAAGTCGGGGACCGCGCTCAGACGGCGCGTTTCTATCGGGAGATACTGGGCATGCGCGTGAGTGTCGCAGGCGCCTCCGGCCCTAAGTGACTTCGGAAGCAAGGCCGGGGGAGGGGGGCGTCAGCAACTACGGGTGCCCGGGGAGCCAAAAGCCGCAGGAAGGCGTTGTTCCAGAGCAGCTAGCCATGGCGGGCCCTTCGAGGCCTGTCTTCCGCTAGGGCGGCGCCTGCCTTTTTGTCAGTGTTTTCTTGAGGGAATGCAGCGTGTATTTTTAATTGGACATCTATACATTTTTCTGTGTGAGCATAGATAATATAGCAAAGGTATTCTCTGATTAATCTGTGCATGGCCTTGCAATAAGATCTGTTTGCGTGCATATGTAACATACACGCAGCAGCTTCGCTTGATCGCAGTTTGCAGAAAGTCATTTACTGCTGGATCAGCATGAATGGAGGACACTGGAGGCCTTCATGAGAAAGGACTCTTTAATGAACAAACTGAAACGATACATTCATGTTTTTTCTCTCCAACTGGAAATTCCAGAAATCAAACTTAGGATTTTTAAAAAAATCTATCAAAAATATTTATCTGAGTGGGATGGTGTAAATTGGTGACCTGCAAGAGCAGGGGGTTGAACCGAATGGTCTTCTTCGTGCCTTCCAACTCTGCTATTCTATGATTTCTGCTCCACCTTGTGGTTTGCAGAAAGGGCTCCCAAGGCAGGCTAGATGCATGTACAATTAATAATGAAAATGAGAATATTCCAAAGTACTTTGCTGAAATAGAATTGCATGCAGAAATGGCAAGTATGAAGGTTTTTTTTAATTATTATGAGGGTGTATATATGAATCTGAAAAAATTTTTCTCCAGAGCAGCACAGGGTTCCACTATATGATACGGGGCTGACCTGTAGGAAAGTGTGGACGCATGTTTAGCTTTAGGCTTTGCTTCCGGGGGTGGGAGGGTGGCCAAGGGGTTATGCCCTTAAAAGAAGGCTCACCTGGGGAAGAAACAGAGGGAACACCCCTAGATGCAGGAGTGTACAGCAAGTTTAGACCTCCCCGTTTGCCCTGCCCGTTTGACCGCAGTCCACAGATTTCCCTGTATTAACATGTTTGTCCACTTTTCTGAAAGTTTGAAATGGCTCTTTCAAGGCCCAGGTACTGGTAGCAAGACTTGAAGCTAAAGCGGGCTAGCGGCTTTGGTCCTTTGGCTGGACTGTGGCCCCTGAGTGCTGCCCCAAAAGGCAATTTGCCCCTTGGGCTGAAGGAGGCTTTGCGCCCCTGGCCTTTCTCTAGCCCTGAGCTGCATGTTAACTGCTTGCTTGTGCTCGACCCTCCAGGTTCTAAGACATGAAGAGTTTGAAGAAGGCTGCAAGGCTACCTGTAACGGGTGAGTTTCCTCCATCTTGCCTCTTTCTCGCCAAAGCCGGGGCTTGTAAGGGATTATCCGAACAATGGCTTCACGGCACGATGAGCCAGAATTTTCCAGACTTCTGCTTTCAGAGCTAACCAGGGAAACTGTTGGAATCTCAGTGTGTGAGCAGTGTGCTGAGGAAGTTGGCGGGTGCTTTTTCTGTTTCTCTTATTAAATGAGAATTGTGGTGTTTGTGTTTCTAGTCCCTATGATGGCAAATGGAGCAAAACAATGGTGGGCTATGGTCCAGAGGACAGCCACTTTGTCGCGGAGCTAACCTACAACTACAGCGTTGGAGAGTACCGCCTCGGGAACGATTTTCTGGTAGGCACTGCAGTGTTTGGGTTTGTCTCTGAGAGAGGCTCCCGCCTACAGCAAGCGTGTTTGTTTCTCTGTGTGGTGTTGATGCTTTTCCCTGCCCTGGACAGGGAATGACGGTTGTGTCCAGCCAGGCAGTGGGCGCTGCCCGGAGGATGCAGTGGCCACTCAAAGAGGTCTCTGCAGACATCTACCAAGTAGAAGCCCCGGGTGGATACAAATTTTGGCTGGAAGACAGACACCCGGTGAAGGAAGGTAAAAGTCATGCTTACCTGTATGGTGTGAGGAGTCTCATTCGCACCTGTTTGTGGCGCTGTGTCCCTTGGATTGCGCTGGGCTCACCTGGGGAAGGGGGCAGAGAAGCAGCCGTCTGATCCCTGATGTTTCTCAGGAGGTTTTCTGGCGGTTGTGCAGGAGGATGGGAAAAACAAGGCATTAATCATTTCCCCCTTTTCCTCCCGCTCCCTTTTCCCTTGTTTGTCGTCTTTTTAATTTGCAAGCCAGAAGGCTGGGGTTGCTTGTTTTACTGTAGATACGTAAACTGGGTGATTATTTTTGGCTCAGGAGTGGCGTAAAATTACTTTGAACGAAGAAATCGTGCCAAACCTCCGAGTTTAAAGGCAGTTTACCTGCGTCTCAGATCTGGGGCAGACTTCTTTTATATTTTTTATTTATTTTATATTGTTAATTTTAATTTTATATTGTTATTTTTGTATTTTATTGTATCTTATTGTGTTGTAAGCCGCCCCGAGGCTTCGGCAAGGGGCGGCATAGAAATGTTTAAATAGATAGATAGATAGTTGATAGATAGATAGATAGATAGATAGATAGATAGGACCCTCATATCCGCTCTGCTGAAGGGCTTCAAAAGAGGGAAAGTGTTGGCTTCCATGTCAACTTTTCTGCCAGGGAGGGAAGGCCACACTCTGCGATGAAGTCCACTCCAAGGTTGTGTGTTTTTCCAGATCCAGTGCTGAAGGTCACCCTGGCTGTGTCCAGCCTGCCAAAATCCATTGACTACTGGTCCAGGCTGCTGAGCATGAAGGTGTATGAGACGGATGAGAGCCAGCAAAAAGCTCTGCTTGGCTACGCGGAGAACCAGGTGGGACCTGAGTGGATGCAGAGTCACTTTCGAATGTCGCTCGGGGAGCTCTCGAAACCGGCCCTCTGCTGCTTGGTGTTACTCGCTGCACAAACCTTTCTTATTATTTTCTAAAACAAGCAGCCATGGTGAGCTATGGGCCACCTAAGCCGCTCAGAAGCCACATGCTGGAGCTAAAGCCTCCGGCAAACAAAATCGGAATCCACTGAAGTTGCTTTATGCCGACTTGAAGGACGAAAGTTCAAATTGCTTCCTAAAATCAGCAGTCCTTGGCCACACCACTATTTTTGGCAATAAAATATAGCTAGTTGTGTCTCTTTAGACCATTTCACCCACACCCCCTGCGGAAGACACACGAAAGACACCTGGGGAATAGATGGAACAGGAATGGCCATTAGGCTGTTCCTCATGCGAGACACGGATCAGCGGTGACCCCAAAATGTTTTCTTTGGCAAATTCTTCGCAAAGCTGTTTTGTTCCCTTTTCAGTGCAAACTGGAACTGCAAGGAATCGGGCAAGCTGTGGACCATGGGACAGCCTTTGGGAGGATCGCCTTCTCTTGCCCCGAGGAAGAGGTGAGGCCTTCTGGGGGACGTCAGTTAAATAATCTTTCCAGGGTACCCGCTGCTTTAGAGGGGCTGATGGGAACTGTAAGCCAAAACATTTGGAGGGCCGCAAACAGACCACCCGTGGTTAACGTAGGGAGTTTATATCCTGCTTTCTTCTCAAAACAGTGCCTAAGGCAGATAACAAAGAAGTACAAAGGAAAACCAGGGTGATAACATGGGAGCGTTTTTAATTAGAGGCGAATTGCTCAAGATTCTTCCGCTGGGTCAGCACTTGAGTCCTGGGAAATATGGGCAAGGGTCTTGCTTAGCGTGCAGCAAGGTCTGCAGGACCTATTCCGAGATGCCGTTTTGCACCATGGGACATGACCCAGCCGGGTAACGGTGCCTTCCTTTCTCTGGGGCTGCTGTTCTCTCCACCGCCAACCAACCTTCTCGGCCCTCCAGCTGCCCCATCTGGAGGCCCTGATGAAGAAGGAGAACCAGAAGATCCTGACGCCCCTTGTGAGCCTGGACACGCCGGGAAAAGCCACAGTGCAAGTGGTCATCTTGGCGGATCCTGTGAGTACCCGAACAGAAATACCCCTCTGTGCATCCAACACGGACGGGGGGGAAGGGGAGCCCTGCAGGGTGCGGCCCAAGGACACCTAACCCATGCTGACAATCAGTGGTAGATTCTCTCTGGCTATGGAGGGTCCACCAGGGCAGCAGACTGAATGGCCAGAGAGATGTCTCCTCCACTGCAGAGGTGGGAATCGGGTTTTCAGTTCTACCCTCTGCAGGAATTTGCGATATTCCTATACTGCTTAAATATCCCAACACAGCGAACATGCAAACATTAAAACCACATTTAAAACACACTTCAGTAGGGCAGCGTATCCTCAAAAGCAGCATGCGGACTCATCCCAGTGTGCCTCCGAGGGGAGCTAGCCCTAGGTTGGAGGGAAAAGACCCCCGAACCTCTGAGGGAAGCTCTGCAGGACGGCTTCTTGAAGATGCTGTGCCACTTCCACGCTCCCCACAGCCCCCCTTGGGCGCGTGCCATCGCCTTCGTGCCGAGACCTAAGCTTCGGCATCTCCCGCCCGGTTTCGAGCCGCTCGTTTCTCCACCCGTCTCGTCGGTCTTCCAGCACTGTGACAAATGCAGAGGTGCAGGGGAAAGAGAAGCAACCGGAATTATTTGCCGATTCAGTTACTGTCTGGGCTTCTGGACGTCCGGCTGTGTTGCGAAAACCCTTCCTTTCCTCTCCCTCTCCCTTTCGCCACTTTAGGACGGCCACGAAATTTGCTTTGTGGGAGAAAAGGCCTTCCGCGAGCTCTCCCAGGTGGACCCAAATGCTGGGAAGCTCTTGGACGAGGTAAGTGGGCATCTTTTCGCGATTACTAATTTGCCAGGGACTTTTCAGTGCCCTGAATGAATCCCGAGAGCTGTATTTTTTTGCAAGTGTGCTCTGCATGTCAGCTCCCATCAGTCCCAGCTGGCATGGCCGGGGTGAGGAATGCTGGGAGCTGTGGTCCAAAAAGCTAAAGGGAGCCAGGCTGGGGATGGCTCTCTTAAAGATCCCTACTTCTCCCATGGTCCCTTCCAAGGCCAAGCTGCTGCCAACCGTTCCATCGCCTTCCAGGATAATCCTCCCTTCCAAAACAAAAATGGGCAACTTCTTTCTTTTAAAACAGAAAAGAACCTCAGTTTTCACTGAACGGGTGCCATTAATGCCCAGCACAAAGAGGTCTAGAAACTTGAATAAGAAATTGCATACAAGTTGTTTAAATAAATACATAAATAATAAATTCACAGAGTTCTCAGTGCAGAGCAGCTTCTCAGTCGGCTTCTCAAAGGCCGCTCGAACTAGGCAAGGCGGGAAAAGTTGTAGGAGCACAGGGGCTCGGCCCTTCTGCACCCACCACGACGGGCTGCCGTTCATCAATTTCCTTGGTGTCCTTGGCCTCTTTCCGGCGGGGAACTCCTCGCCAATGGCTCTTCCTGACATGTGGCTCCCCGGCTTTTCTTCCTCCACACAGGCAATGGCAGCTGACAAAAGCCAGGCGTGGTTCGCAGACCGAAATACCACAAAACCTTCTGCGTAGCCTGGGCAGGCCCGGCCGATCAGAGGTACCCATCAGGTTCAGCCTAAACCACTTTTGTCGCCTTCGCAAGAAAACCACTGCCATTCTTTGAACTCCGTGTCTTTCGTCGCGGCTTTTCCCTGCCTGGCAGATGTGTTGGACTGTAGCACCCATCATCCCCAGCCTCTGGCCTGCGCTTCTGCCAGGCTGAGGGAGGCCTGCTTAACTCCTTGAGAGCTGATGTCATGTCTGTCGGGGGGGGGGGGGGCGCTGTGTTTTGCCTGGGGACTGCCAGGAAATCGTGTAGACTGCTCCATTAAAACAAGCTGCTGCATCTTTTAACTGTGCATGCTTTTACGGGAGAAAAATCACATTTAAATCACGTTCTTACGGCTTTGTGAATGTGGTCCATCATTTCCATGTGCTGCGCCAGCCTCCCAAGAACCCGCTGGAATAGGGCCCACCTTTTCAGTGGCTGCAATTCTCAACGGGGCGAGAAGCCTCTTTCTCCCGCCCCACTCCCCCGACTTGGGGTCCCTGTGAGACAGCCAGACTTTGAAAGACTTCTTCTCCCTCTGAGAAGTGAATAACCTCAGATTATTTGGAGATTATTTGCTGGGAAAATGGTTTTATTGGGGGTTGGCAGGGAGAGAAAAAGGTAAGGCTGAAATTTCCGGAGAGACACTTCTGTCTTTTGCTTCTGAATAGTATCGTGGGCTTGGGCTGATAAACAGCTCCGTCTTTCTGGGCAGCTGCTGTGGGAAAGGTTTAAGGTGTGCTTTTATGTGCTCCATAAATCTGGTTCAACCCCCCCCCCCAATTCAAGAGAAGCCTATTGGGGCCCCCTGGGCTTGCTAATAAGATGGTAATTATATGTCTCACAGACTAAAGGGCCCTTAAAGCTTTCATTGCTTCCGTAGGTTTTTTTTTCCCCTCTTTCACAGCAAGATGTGGAAACCTTTAAAATGGCATTTTGATGGTCCAGGATGGAATTAGAAAGTCTGAGCCAACCAAGGGCACAAAGGTTACATAGTTCAGGTCCTTGCTGGTACTTCAGGAGGCTTGATGAACAGACCCACATCTCAATTTTTTAGACACCCTTTCAAACTCAGTGCCTTCCTGGCGTGTTGGACTGCCGCTCCCATGAGCCCCAGCCGGCAGGGCCAGTGCTCATGGATGGGAGTTGTACTCCAAAGCATCTCAAGGGCAGTAATTCTGCGAAGCCACTCGCGGGGACCAGCTCGGCCCCACAACATTTGGAATGAATATCCCCTGCTCTGCCTTCCCTTACAGTGGTATAGCCCTACCCTGAGTGGGCCGCAGCACAGAACTCGACCAAGCCGCCGGTTTGCCAGCGCGGAGAGGCAAGTTCAGTCGGAGGCGAGAAGCCAGAGCATTGCCGTTTTATTGCCGCGAATCGCACCGAGGCCGGGAGGCCGGCTCCAGCGGGGCCACCACGGGGAAGGCCCCGCACCCGCCGCTGCTCAGGGCCCGGCCGGGCAGGCCTGCCGATCCGCCGGGGCCCGCGGGGAAGGCGCCCCGGCCTCCGCCGCCGTCTTCACTCGTGGCACCAGGGCGGCGGCTTCCGCAGGCGCAGCCGGCGGCACGTGGTGAGCAGCGCGCCCTCCTTCTGGCCCGTGCACAGCGCCCGGCGGGAGACGAGCCGCGGCGTGTCGGGGCTGAACTGGCTGTCCCTGCGGGGCGGCAAAAGCGGGGCTCAGCGGGGCGCCCGGTGGGGGGGGCCGGGGCCGGGGGCAAAGCGGGGCTTGCGGGCTGCCCCGTGGGGGGGATGGGGCAGGTGGGGGGCCGGGGCAGAGGGCAAAGCGGGGCTCGCGGGCCCCCGGCGCAGGACGATGGGGGCCCCCCGGCGGTACCAGCAGGTGTAGGCGGGCAGGCGCGCGGCGCCGCGGCCCCGGCCCGTGTCGCGCAGCAGGCGGCAGAGGAAGCTCCGGCGCCGCCGCTCGGCCCTGCGCAGCCCCGTGGCGCCGAGGGCGGAGGCTCCGCCGGCCCTGCCTCCCTCCTGCCCGGCCTCCTCCCGGCCTCGCGCCCGCCCCTGCGCATGCGCCGCCCGCCCCTGCGCATGCGCCGCCCCGCCCGCCCTGAGCGCACAATGGCCGCCGCGCCGCGTCCCGC